TTTAATATTGTGGAGCCATTACAATTGCGGTCTCAGGACAGATAGCACCTTTTCCAACTGGGAAAGAGCCCTTGACCTTCCTGCAAGTCATCCAGTTCCCAGCCCCAGCAAAGCATTCATTGTGCCTTCTGTAGCTTCATCTGCAGCTTTGCAAACAGTACTGAGGCTGTGTTGTGCCGCATAGCCTGAGTGCTCGCTTAGCATGTGTTGTCTAGAGTTTATCCTCCAGGACTGTGTCACACATACATGCACATATATACACACATATGTGCATATGTATGTATGTGCATATGTACATCTCTGTAGATACACCTATGAATGTATGCATGTATGTGCTATGTATCTTATTCTAGGTAATTTGTTTCACATGGCTGAAGTAGAATCTAGTTAGAGAATTGTGGCCATGCTTGGACCTACAGTTTAGATAATTCTGGTCAATTGGGAAGAGGAAAGAGTGACTGGGAAATGACCACCTTTACCCTGTGAGCAGAAGGTGCCAGACCCTTGTGCTGTTGAAACAACAGGCATATTCTATGAAGAAACAAAAGTGCTTCTTCAAGACTTACGGCTGAGTCAGTGAGAAAGTAAAGCTTTTCCATTAAAGACATTCAATAATCCCTTTGCTTAAGAAGCCAAGCATCACCATAAAAACATTCTGAAATGATTAATTTAGACGTAAAAACATAACAAGTGCGAGAAGCAATGCCACTGTTTCCACAGGTTCACTGGAATCTGATTTGGGTTCCCACACTCTTTTCACAGGAATATTTAAATAATTTGACTGTGACAAGCCAAACTGTTTTGAGAACTCATTGAAAGTCAAATGAAAACATTAATCACATGCAAAATTATTCCAGTCAGGCATAGAAATGCTTCAGGTTAGGGAATAAATATGTTGCCTATGAGAAGAAAAATCAATCGACTTAGAAAAAGCTAGTGTTGGCTCAAGTCTACATGGTCAGCATTGACTGAAAATCACTAGGGTTTCAGGGCCTTATTTTTGGCTTATGAATTAACAGACAGCCTTGAGCCATACCCATACTATACAGTAAGTTGACTGACTAATTCTTCACCTGTGAAAATTAGAAAATCAGATCACTGAAACTATAAATTATTTTTCCTTTCTTTCTCATTGTTTTCTTTACTCAACTATTTTTTAGGGGGGATAGTTTAGTGACTAATAGACATATAATTATCCTTAACACAAAATATTCAGGCTAATGGTTTATACAATGGCAACAGTAATTCAGAAACAGAAAACAACTTTCATATCATGAACTACCACATTTATACTGAGTGGGGATTACTTTCTCATGCCTGAATTATACAAGGTGAGGCTCGTGTGATGAGAGGCAAACTGTTGAGTACATTGTGTCGTTATTCTTGCTTTGGTTAATTGGGACTAAATATCAATTCATACCTTTGTTTTGGACTGTGTGACTATACAACATGGACACCTAACTTAGCCTGTCACAAGCTTTATTGCCTTAGTAACTTTGTTAATCTCCCTAAGCCTTTCAGTCATTTTCTATTTAAGAAAACCCTTAAAATGAGAAACATTTAGGACTCGTGGAACACTGAATTTGATGCCTCAGTCAGAGACATATCAATGGATATTCTTATGGTCCTTGACATTTTTATAATCAATTTTTTCTGCCTTTGGCAAGTATTAATTGAACATCTACTGAGGCCCTAGGGAGAAAATGGCACAGCAGGCAGAGTGACTACCGCTCAAAGAGCTTCGGTGTGGAGTCCACAGCTCCTGACTTTCCTGGCTGAGGAAGGCAACCTGAGATCAGCCTCAGCAAGAGGACTGTGGTAGCCTGTGAAGGGGATTCCTGGAGGAGGCGCTAGTGTGCACAAGGACCAGCCAGGACCAATGGCCCAGGGTGAGATCTACAGGAAGTGTGTTTTCAGATGGATGTTAGACACAAGAGCTGAAGACACAGAGAAATTCTTAGGTTTTACTCTGCTACTGCTGAGCTGAAGGAGCCTGGCAATTAACAGCTCATTAGCTTCATATTAAAAAAACAAAACAAACAAACAAAAAAAAACACAAAAAAACAAAAACAAAAACAAAAAAAAAAAAAAACCCAAAAATTTTGTCAGGGTTAGTAAGAGTTCAGTGAGAAATGTCCGCCCTAAGGCCACCCACATCCCATCAGGAGGCCCAGTGTACTATCCTTATTCCTTATTGACATGAGAAAAGAGAAATTAAAGAAAGTGGAAGAATTAGGGGATGTGTGTGATCTTTAGTTTCCTTCAAAAGCCCTGATGAGTTGGGAGATTTCTGGAGGACAAACCTTCCGAAGACCACAGACAGCAGACATCTATTAAAATGTGCTCCAATCTCAAAGAAAGGGGTCACCCAATAACTCTGACCCTTTGCTTTGAATGGGCTAATGAAAGCTTTCTGCTACTCTAAGAATTTACGCATGCCCCTCCCCAAGTCCACTGATAGAGGAGGTCCTCCTCTCCTTCCTTCTGATCTTAGTCTATCAGATCACATCAGAAGTGGCTGCATTGTCATCTTCTGTGGCCTGATAAGGCTGCTCTCCCCTCAGGGGGACGTGATCAAAGAGCAGGCCAATCAGTTTATGTCAGAGGCAGTCCCTTTTCCCATTACTATGTAACCCACTTAGACACTGAACTGCCATGGACTACATCTGTGCAGAGGTTCTAAGATATTTCCATGCTTGGTACTTGGTTGGAGTATGAATCTCTGGGAAGACCCCTATGTTCCAATTTTCTGGTTCTGTTGCTCTCCTTGTGGGGTTTCTGTCCTCTCCAGATCTTAATATTTCCCACTTCTTACATAAGATTCCATGCACTCTGCCCAACAGTGTGGTCATAAGTCTCAGCATCTGCTTTGATAGTCTGCAGGGCAGAGCCTTTCAGAGGCCCTCTGTGGTAGGTTCCTAGGTTGTTTTCTGTTTTCTTCTTTTTCTGATGTCCATCCTCTTTGCCTTTTGGGATGGGGATTGAGTGTTTTAGTCAGGAGGGAGGGTGGGACCGGGAGGGGAGGAGGGAAGGTCTTATGGGGGGATACAAAGTGAATAAAGTGCAATTAATAAAAAATACCTATAAAATAAAAAAAGAAGTTATTAACACAAGTCAGCAATTTTTTAAATGATTCTTATTAAGAAATGTAAGGAAGCCCTTATGTAGTACAAAGGATGCTGTCTTTGATGGTTGGCTCAGAATTAATAAACTGTATGCACTCACTCAAAAAAAAAAAGAATTTAGACATGGGATTTTCCTCCTCATTGGCAAGAAGGCTGGCATCGTCAGAGTCCTGGCTTTTTCATCTGCAGTACTGGCGCCTTCTGCTAACTTCTGTAGGGCGTTGAAGCCCTTATGTGAGGAGCGCCTGGTGTCTGAGTTCTTCATGGAAAGGCTTTAAATGTAGTTGATATAAAGAGCATCACTGCAGCACTAGAGAACTGGGAGCATTCTGTGAGGCTTCCCTGCTCTTTTCTCCAGCTGCGGCATGTAGCAAGCCTTTCAGAGAAGGAGTGTGCTGTCCCCACAGTTTCCTCACCTCCAGACCCTCTACCTCCTGCAGGAAGAAGAGCCTTAGTGCTCGGCAAATAAAACTGCCGGGCAGCTGGACACAGAGAGGCTCTTCCTCTGAGACCTTCAGGCAGCTCTCTTCTTGGAAGGAATACAAATTAAATATACAAACATTCACAGGCTGGGGTGGAGTGGAGGGGGCTTGTCTGTGTAAAGCAAACCAAGGCCCTCTGACTGATCAGAGCTGCTGTGTTGTGGGTACAGAGTTAAATTATCTGGCGCTGGCTCATCGGCCTCAGCAGCTATTCATTGCCCACTCCTGTAGCATATGACTATGAGGTAAAATTCATTCAGGAAGTAGATCTCTAGCTTCCGCTAACTGGAGGCCAGGGTGTGCTAATACCTGCGTCTAAAGGCAGAGAGTTCTCCCTTTGGCTGTAAATGGCTGACTTGCTGTCTCTACCAATGTCTTAAAAATATCTTGATTTATGACTTTGTCTTGTCACTATAAAAACGTCATGAATCTCTAACCACCTCAGAACAAGGAAGTTGGGGAGCTTTAAATCTGTTTTCCTAGGCCATGGCCACCTGTAGTTTGGTTCCACAATAAACTGTCTTGTATCCCTTTGAGATGAGAACTTTCTGTGTTTTTGGAATTGACAATTAGGAGCAAACTTTTTTTGTGGAAACTTTCTATAATATATTCATGTCCTGTCTCCTCTCACTCATCAAAAACACATAATCTCCATTGTCTCCATTTTGCTCATGAAGACCTTAATTCAGAAAGAAGTCAAGTGATGTAGCAAGGGTGAACAGATGAGAGGAGGGATGAGAAAGTTGGTTGTTGCTTGGGAATCAGGAAGGTGTGACTGGGTGGAATCTTTCTTTCCTGTCACTGTTAAATTAAGGCCAGAACAACCGTCTTAACATTAATCTGGAATATTTGCTCAGCTGTATTGCTGAGTGAGTTGACTGGCATTGGGAAGGAAAGCTGAGTAATAACTCTGTTTCCCCACACAGTCTCCATGAAAACACACCCTAGACTTTCTGACTGGCAGAAAGTTCTTCTGAGGATTCCTTCACCATGAAGTTCGTCACTAAGATGCTGAGTCAGCAGAAGATGCTGAGTCACCACTGTGTGTCTGTCCTGTGGACACTCACTAAGGAGGAAACTGGACACATTTAACTCAGGTTCTGCCCAGATATGAGTCTATGCAATGGGATTGTCGCTGGAATGCCTGATACAAAGATCAACCATAGGGGATTACAGGTCTCTGTGAAGGCAGGGATATGATCTGGTCTTTTTCCCATTCTCCCCAGGAAAGGTCCACATGCAATCCAAGCATTCCCAGAGTCTTATGCAAGAAGTTATGTCCTTCAGTGTGGTAGGCAGAACCACAGTACTAGGGTCAAGAGAGAGACACACCATCAGAACCGCACTTGATTAAGTAGTACCCAAGAGATGGCTAGGTGGCTCACGTGCCTGCCACCAAACCTTCTGACCTAACTTTGTTCCCCAGGAAACACATAGTAGAAAGAGAGAACTGACTTCTGTAAGTCCTGCTCTGATGTCTACATCTGCATTGTAGCATGTACACCCCTCTTGTACAAAATTAAAGTATTATATTAAAAAAAAAAAACACATTACCAAATACTAAGCTGTCCTGTTAGAAGGATGATAATTGCTAACATATGCTCTTATTTAAATTTGAGAAGTTGTGTATAATTGTTCCCTGAAAGTTATGTTTTGGAAAGCTCCACTGACAGGTTAGAGAAGATTCCCTGAGGTGAGATTATTCACGCATGCGTTAACTGGCTTCAGATCCAGGGCTCTCTCTCTCTACTTTGTCCTCTGGACTTCCGTAAGCATGCTACCCACAGCAAGCAGACCACTGCACACAATCACACTACAGCCAGAGGCAAAGAAAGGTCAGATGCTTACCACATGGCTTTTTTCCTCAGGCTGATGGAGGATTCACAATACCAAGTATTTAAAAAGTGTCCTGTTTATTTCACTGTGTCAAATTCATGCTATCATAGCTGCTGGAAATACAATTGGTAGGAAAGATTTAGCCAGTTATCAAGCTTAATCTCTGATTTTAATTATTATTTGTGACTCTGGGTCCTTTCATACATTGTACTGAAAGTTTAGCATCTTAAGAATCCAACCTTAATGCCTTTCAGGAAGCAGGGGTTGAAAATGATGAAGTGGGAAAGGCAGAGATGCTGGAGGCAGCGTTAATATCATTACTGAAAGGTTAGCTGTTCAGGAAATCGACAAGGCACCTAGAGGGCATCCACCGAGCCTCCTAAGAAATGAGAGCAAAGAGAAATGAGGCCAGACACAGAGAAGCTTTTGTTGACATTTTCAAAAGCCTCCTTTATACAGGCTGGGTCTCTGGAGAGTGGAAGACAGCCAAGAAGGGAATCAGCAACACTAGAAAATTGCAGGTCAATGAGCTCAGCAGCATCCTCAGGGAAGCTCCAGCAGACAGAGGCACCCTTTCTGTTCCTGGGCGAGGGAAGGAAAGGTCTCAGGAAGGGAGAGCACCCATGTCACCCTGGCTTGGATGTGATTGGTCCAGGGTGTAGCCAGGTAGGTATTAAGGAAAAGGAGCAAAACCAATCACTCAGAAACACAAAGCTGAAATGTTTGTCCCATGAAATGTAGATTTTTCATTACAGAATTCCTGCTCAGAACTTCTTGTGCTCTGTGGAAGACACAAGAATCACGCGTGGGAACTGGGATCTGAGCAAAATGGCTGAGCTGAAGGCTCTGATGACACGTACACATGAGGTCGGCTGGGACAGGTCTGTGCCACAGCAGCAGTGGTTCAGGGGATGAGTGCTGGCACCACAGACCTAAAAAAGTGTAGGGTCGAAGAGGTATGCATAAGAGAACTATTTTTAGAACCAGAGAATGCAGGCAAGAGTAAAGGAGTTGCGCTAATGGGGACAGGTGAAAGAGGAGGGATATTTGGAGGACATTTTAGCTATTTCTGTGGAAGCCCGTGCACAGAGAGCTAACTCGCCTGGCCTGGTGGCATTGAGGCAGCAGAGTAGGGGCTAGGGAATCAGGCCATACAGTTGCTCTCACTTTGGCAAGCTTATGCCAGCTGAAACATGCTGAGGATCCTTGTCACATAACTGGCCTCTGAGTCTTGGGCATGAAGGACAGTGGAGGGGTTGGGACAACCACACAGAGACAATGAAGACCAGGTGGGTGGAGTTTCTGTTGAGATAATGGGTAGGAAGTGCAGAGTCACAAGAAAACTGTGGCTTCTCCTGCAAGTCCCGGGAGCTGAGGACAAACGTGCAGATTTCCAAGTCAGAAACGCATGTCAGAGTGGAGGCCAGACATCAACGCCCGAGCGTGCTCACACGGAGGCTGGAGTGACTTGCCTCACATGATGGCTAGGGTACCCCTCTGCCTCTCGTGACACTGTGAGGCGCTCTGAACGCTACAGTCATAGCATGCATTTAAATTTTCTCTATGAAAGGTGAAAAGTGTGAGCACAAATTTTGGCTGACGTGGGCCACCTCAGTGTGCGACTCCTTTCAGAGTGGAGGCTGTAGCTCATGTTCTTGTACTCAACCAGTTCCACGAGCTTTGCTCTTTGGACCATGTTGTGGTCCATGAACACCTTACTTTCCCCAAGGCGTTTGTATGTTTCAAACACAACTAACGATTGAATTTGAAGATAAATAGAAAAAGAATGTTGCCTATATGCAATGGGATTTTGTTCAACCCTAAAAACAAATGCCATCATAACATTTGCAGGAAAATGTTGAACCAGCTTTCAAGCACAGGAATTATCACAAACATTCAGGACTGTATTTGTTTACCTGTGAACTGATATGTGTACATACACATGGATTTTTGTGCATATGGATCCATTGCTTAGTGAAAAGCCCTAAGCCAGAAATCTGAAATCCCAAATACTCCAAATCCTTCATCTTTGAACCCTGTGACTTGCACATATTCGAGTTTGAACACTTTTGTACTTGGATTTTCAGGCTAAGGCTTCTTAACTGCTAAGTTGTCTGCTACTATCCCAAACTCTGGAACATCAGAAGCCTGAAACACTTCTGTTCGAGGCATTTTGGGTGAGATATATTCAATCATCATCAAATTCTGCATTCTCCTGGGGTCTGTGACCTTGAATACATCTATGAATTATTTAATGCAAATGTCTGACCTGAAAACTTTTTCTCTGTTTTTGTCTGCCTGTGGAGAATATGCAATCTTTGGAAATTTCTACTGTCATTCAGAGACTACACCTCAGAGTTCATGGCATAGTCTATGGAGATTCCTTAGAAACTGATGAGTCTTGGGACCTCTGTTCTCTGGCCCAGATACCAAGGACCTTCTGTATTACTTCTTGATGGGTTGAACAAATAACCATATTTTATTTAGCACAAATTCTAAAGCACCATTCATCAATGTTTATGGTTTGTGTCATCATAGAAATGAGTTATCAGTCTTGTTCAAAGCTGCAGAGCTTCAAGCTCGACCTGAGGCTTTCAAAATCAGTCCATCCATGGCTGAAATATGTGAATCTGTTTTCATGTAAAGGAGCCCATATGCAACTCATGATCAGAAACATTCTAAACTCTGCTGGAAAAGTGCTAGGGTTTACCATCCTCATATATACACACAGCATAACATACATCACAGATAATTTCAAACATTCAACAAGCATTTGATATGCATTTCAGAAGTCAAAAGGATTAGAAAACTTTTTAGAAAGTCTTAAAGGCCCTCTTGTGATAATGTGTTTAAACTAGACAGCCACAAAAGCAGAGTTGCCAATGACTTCACAAGTGTCCACAGATTCCTGTGGACTTCAGAGACCACGCAGCTCAATCGTTGTCTTTGTTTGCATGTGGGCACTAGAGCTCTCAAGACAGTATTGGCTGGTGGTAATATCCTTCTGTATCACCCCATCACAGCGGCTCCATCGCAGTGAGCAAGGATCGTGCCTGATAGATAATTGGCCAGTATTGGCCAGCTGGTGGTAATATCCTTCCATATCACCCCATCACGGCGGCTCCATCGCAGTGAGCAAGGACCGTGCCTGATAGATAATTAGAAAAGCAATAAATTACTTTGCTTGACTGTTGTGTTTTTAATTGCAGTTTTATATTTTGTGTTCAATTGAAAGGCAAATGCACATGTCAAGTTAAAAAACAAGTATTAAAATTTTCTCCACTTTTCTTTGTTATTTCCTAAAATCTTCACTAATTTATTTAAATGTCATCCTCAGAATTAAAATCCACTTAGCCCTTATCAGGCTTGTCTTTTTAAATTACCTGTCACTCATCACCAAAAATTTTTCTGTTTTTTAAATGATCTGTAATTATTTTCTTTTATATTTACTAGAATAAGATGGCTCTCAACATACTAGCAGAGGTCTTCCCAGAATTATACTACTGAATACTTAGATATATTTTATAAGAAATATTTGTATGCACATGACATAACGAGTTTTGTTTTGTTCTTTTTTTGTTGTTGTTGTTTTGTTTTGTCTTTTTCACTTGAGACAGCACCTCAATATGCAGCCAAAGCTGGCCTTAAACTCTGTAGCTCAGATCCATAATTTATAATCCGATAGCCACCTCCTAGGACCTGAGTTGACAGGTGTGCACCACCATATAGGGCCAAATGGGGGTTTTTATAATCCCCTTCCTAAAGAATGGAATCAATGAGGCACTAAGAAAAGATACATATCTGTGTAGTGCTTAATAGTATATAAAAAGTGCATATTTATGCCTGTATGTGCTTATGTATATATTATCTATTCGTATGGTCACTGTGAAGTATTTGCCATTATTCAGGTCCTATGATGGTGTAAAATGCTGCTGCTGCAGTAGAGTTATCTGAAGAAAAAAACCCTCTATTTAATCCACATCTATTTGCAGTGATGTCAATGTTTTCCAACAGTTTAGAAATATTATTGTCCAAGAACCTGTTAATATTAAGCACAAAATTTTAAAGCCTGTAGCTGCAACTGTGATCTTACTTGTGCACCAACTCCTTGAAATAAATATGTAAACTGGGTTAAGGGAAGGCTTGGTTCTTAAGAAATTAGAGCATTCCTGAATTAAACTGTACTAATTTAGAAACACTTTAACTCTATGGGCCACCCATAGTGGGCTTGGATCTTCCTATATTAATTAACTAAGACAATCCCCAAAGATATACCCACAGGCCAAAGAATGCAGACAATCCCTCATTAAGATTCTTCCCAGCTGATTTGAAGTGGTGTCAGTTGATAATTAAGTGACTCATGACAAGTACCGTCACCATCAAGCCTTCTCTGTCTTCGAGATGACTTTGTATCCCATGGCGGTGCCGTGTGACAGTTGTGTAAGAAGGTGACTCTTGGTTGGTCTCTTCACTCAGCTCATTGACTATACAATAGGGATAGATAATATTATAGATTCAATGCGCAAGGCTCTCTCTTAGTAGAACCTCCCACACCCATTCATCTCAGATGAGCCTTCACTTTAGTATACAGTGAAGACTAAAATTAATGTTCAGGATATAACCAAAAGCCACAGACAGCTTTTCCTTGCCAAGAGAAAGGCAGTTTTTTCTTTAAATGAACTAATGACCTCCATCTCCAATATAGAATGTCCCCTTTCTGTAGGCTGATCAGCCATCTTCAGTAGCCTCTTTCCTATAAAATTATAAAAGGCATTCAGTGATTCCACAAGACTCTATCCAGAAGCAGCCATGATTGCCTGAACTACCATCCCCTTTTAACTAAAAAGGCTTACCTACTAATGTCCTGAGAATTTCTCAAAACGCATTGACTGAGAAATTGCACATATGAATACAAGGTTCTAACCTCAGCAGGTGAGAAAAGAGTGCAGGCTCTCTGACCCTGAAGCCCTGTGCTGTCTGGAGCAGTAGGCAAGATAAAACCATAAGCCATCAACAATCACACCAATCCAAAGGCAACTGCTAGCAGGTTCCCTCTGTTTGCTCCAGGAAGACTTTCTGACAACTGAGAAAATGCAAAGTGTGATTCCTAGAAAAACCCAAGCTTATTCTTCCAGCTTCACATCCTCAGCAAACTTTCCACTGCACTGTGATATGTTGCTTGCTTGAATTATCTTGAAAACTGGTTTCAAATCATTTTCATTCTCAGTCATGCCCTAGCCAAAGTGGAGATTTACTTGCTTCCCTCGTATATGACTTATTATTTCTGTAAATAAATTGAAGTAAGCCCCTCAGGGTGTGAAACGTGCATTTGAGCCATGTAGAATGCCCTCTCTTCAGAAATATGAAAAAAAAATGGAACTTTTATTGTTGCTTCTGGGTTGGAGATGGGTAGAAAAGCATTTACAGATCTAGTTAGGTCTCTATGCTTGTTTCATGAAATTTAATTGTTTTGGAAAATTTAAGCTCTTTGGTTTGATTATTGTCAGGAAAAAGCAAGGTAAAATAAACTTGTTTCTGTTATATAATGTTTTATTTTCATATCTAATCAATATTTGTGTTTCTAGTCAGTTTGCCATTGAAATCCTTTCCCTAAAATTTTGTTACTAAAGCTCAAATAATAAATATGCTTATTAACATAAATTTTTTGAAAAATTAAAGAAAAGAACTGGTAATAGTGAAGACATAGCTTTAATTTAAAACTAAAACACTTTAAGCTTACTATTCACTTCCAATATTGGAATCTACTAACTCTACTTAGATTGTGTTCGCTCACCTGTTTTTCTGTCTGTCTTTGTCTTTCAGTTCGCTGCCCACTACAGATGTTCTGCTTGTAACTAACGCTCACTTGGATGACTGCAGGGACTATCTCATCAGGTTCTTGACTGGGTCTTTTTGTAAAATGACCTCAGGTTGCAATTGCAGCACAAACAACCCAGCACTCCTTCGTGCTCACAGGAGAGCAACCAACCAGCCTTTCTTGCCCAGCATGACCTGCTGTATTTCTTCTGGTTCCACGTTTCTGTACTTCTCTCCAAGTGTTCAGTCTCCACACACATGCATGCCGTTATTTATTTTGTACACTAAAATGGAGTGGCTTATAGTTCCTTTAGCTTATGTGTGTTTAACCTTTCAATCTCTTTGGATTACTCTCTTCATACCCTTGAAATGTTCCTTCAAACTTACTCATCCCTAGGGAGTGGGTGATGTGTCACTTCCTCTTTGGAACTGTCTCTAAAATCCTCTGGACTGATTAACATTCTTTCTGGAATTTTACAGAAAATTTCACTACTTTTTTTTTTATAGAACTTTCTGTTAAATATATTTAACTTGCTTGGAATATATTTGGATACACATTTTTCTTCTCTGTTATGATGTGAGATCTCCTGGGAAGCTGGAGAGAAGGATGTGTCTAACCTTCATTTTGTACATGGAAATGCACCAAATGTAACAGGACATAAGAATCATGTATACCCATGTAGTTATTGATCAAGTGACTAAATAAAGTAATTCCCTAATATTGAAACATTTTGGATGATATCCAGGATTGATATGACTTATTCACAGTCAAGATGTGGGAGTTGTTGGTCTGGAATCAACCAGTGAGTGTCCACTGCTCTGCACAGCAGACTGGGGCTTTCACAAAAGTAGCCTTGGGTCTCACTACTCAGCGGCAGGAAAAGCATGAGTGGATGGAGTTTCCCACGCAACATTTAGCCTTCAGAGGAAGCTGCCCTACTTTGCATACTGGCCCTGGTGTAAGACTTTACTCTGAGAAAGTTTTTGCTGTTTAAGAAAAACATTGAAATCCCTTGGGGTCACAACTCTGTGGAGAACTTTGATTCTATATTTGTTTCAGGCTCTATTCAACATAAAAGCCTTTTGCATGAAAACTACACAAGTGGTTTGGCTGATTTTACTGGTACAAAAATGTAAAAATGGCAGCAAAAAGGAGCATGTTAACTAAGACACTCTAATACCTGGCTTTGTATGAGACATGAGGACATCCTTCATAACTACTTCATAACTACATCCTTCAGTGACTACTGAGGTTGCTCACTGCCCAGCCTGAGAACCCTGGCCACATGCTTGCCCTAACTGCAGGCACTTGCTACCAATATGGTTAGGGGATTTTGTCACAGTGTGTGCACATGCACAAATCTAGGTGGGATTGACTAGGTCATACATGTGGCCTGACGACACAACCAAGAGATTGGTTGATACAAGACAAACAAGGAACTCACAGCACTGTTTTTGGTAAATCAAACGAAACAATATAAAATAGTTGTGGAAAGTGTAGTAAGTGTAGGAAGTACGGTGCTGAGTAAATCTGTAACAGATTTGTGGATTATCAGGTCCCAAGCACTGTAGACAGCCACAGGTGCTGGGTTTGGGTCTGACTGGCAGCCTAGAGGAGTTCTTACATCAGCAAGGCAAGACAGCACCTTTTGTTGGCAACAGTCCATCCTTGATGGGAGCATTATTGAGAGCTGCATTTTACACACACCACTGCCTTTCTGGATATTTCCATAGATTTAGATGGTCCACGAGGGGCAGTCACACAGCTCTCTATTTCTGATAGGCAATGACAGTGGCCTGTTCCCTTTCCACAGTGTACAAAGAAACCTCTGACCAGAGAGAAATCTAAACCATGTGCCCACCATGTCATGCTGTGCTCCCCATGAGCTGCAGAGTGATAAGCTCATCCTTGAGGAAAGCCAAGTAGCTGTTGAGGTCTTGGGGTAGGACTGGCTGCACCAAGCTGTGCAGGTACTCCATGCCCTTGGCAACATCGACGGCAATAATTAGTTTAGACTGCAGGTCAAGAATTCTAGAATACAAAATAGATTGAATGGAGATGAAGTAGTTGAAGGCCAAACTCAGCATGTCTCTCAAAAGAAAACAGCCCAGGATTGTTACTCTGTGTGACTCTATTTTCTTATTCGCTGAAAATGGGGCTAAAAATTCAGTCTGGAATACTGCTTCCCACAGTTGAGAAATGCTTAGCTAATTGTCAATTCAGATATATAATGTTTTTTCTTTTAAATATCATACTTGATTTTCTAATTCATTTGTGATAATAACATAGAAATACAATGTTCTGGGTCTACTGAGTAAAACCACGTCCTAGTTATATATGTTATATATATAACAAATATATGTTCTATATATAGAGTATATATATTTTATATTTTCTCTCTATATACTATATATATATATTCTCTCTCTCTCTCTTTCTCTCTCTCTCTCTCTCTCTCTATATATATATATATATATATAGTCTACATTCTAGAGATCTAGAATATAAACTCAGATCAAACATGAACAAGAGCATTCTTTTTAAAAACTTTTTCTCATCAATACTGTGACCCTTGATGATTATTGTGTTCTGAGCCTCCATGCCACACTATGTGGGTGTGTTAAGGTTATTCTGCTTACAAGCTTCAGTTGGCTTTATGTTCCTCAAATTTGTTACCTTTGACTTCCTGTTAAGAAATGACTTAAGAATTTCATTTCTTGAAATCTAATAATTAGTCATAGATCATCAGCTGTGTTTAAAATGCTGATCTTACTGACATTTCGAGATTCCAGAGGCAAAAGTGCCCTGATCAGAAAGCCCCAGAAATGTGGTGAAGGTGAGTGTGGGCCAGACCCCATACCACTTCTGTTCTTGAAGGAGGGAGAACAGGGAGCCATCCGGAATATATTATGTGACAATGGCAAACTGGCTGGGGTCATCCAGGCAGGTGCATATGAACTGAACCACACAGGGGTGTCTGAGCTGGCAGAGGATGGACACCTCTTGGCAAAACATAGTCTCATCTGACTTGGAGCAGTAGCTGTTGGCTCGGTACCTAGGACAGAAATGAGGACACTTCTTGTCGATGGCAGGTGTCAGGGTCTGGCCTCTGCTCTCCACAGCCCAAGACATAGACTGACTTCATCTTCTTGCTTACCGTTTGATCGCTACTATTTTGTTCTTGCATCACCCTTTACAGACTTTCCCAAAAGAACCTAAAATGATTTAAAAGAAGCTGATAGACGTTTACTACAGTCAGTACATCTAAGATTGGTAAGCTGCAGCAGGGCTCTGGTTTCACAGTTTACCTGAGCCGACAATCTCATGGAACTCAGAAAGCTAAAGATGAAAGCAAGCGGGAGGGCAACCCAGCCCTCAGGAGGAGAACATCAGCCTTCTCTGTGAACAGCAATTGTCTTTTTAATTTTTGTGCACACGTGGCTATGAATATACAATGGGCATGCTCAACTATGGATCAACCACTTTATCCTAACTGTAACTAATAGTTGTACATGCTAGCGTGGTCCCTGTGCCTGCATTACCAGAGTGATGGTCTGTCTCAGCTCAATCTCACTGATCAGAAAAGAGCTTACTGCTCATCTGATTTTCAGTTAACATGGCTGGAGATATAACCACCCTCCAAAATGGTTTGCCTCATAGTCAGAGAAACCCAGTCAATCCCTTCAACCTACATCAGTAAAGCTGTTCTGACATAAACTCAGTGGCTAGCTCTTTGATCACCTCCCTCTGAGGCCAGTGAAGTCTAGCCAGGCCACAGCGGAAGACAATGCAGACAGTCCTGATGAAACCTGGTAGGCTAGGGTCAAATGGAAGGGGAAGAGGTCCTCTCCTATCAGTGTATATAAAATATGTATTGATAAACCAGACCTTTAGGGGATGTCCATGAAATAGCAAGTAATAAGCATAGGAATCAATCTAAGGAAATAGTCCACCCTGAAAAGTACTTTGAAAACTATAAATTCTAAGTGGTTAAACAGTAATTTGTCATTGAATTGTGTTTTATACTTTGCTGGGTTTGTGATGTTAGTTTCAACATTAACATTGAATTCAGCATTTTATCTATCTGTCTGTTTGTCTGTCTATCTATTTACTATTACAATTTATTCAGTTTGTATCCCAGCTGTAGCCCCCTCCCTCATCTCTTCCCAGTCCCACTCTCCCTCTCTCTTCTCCTCCCTGATAGGGGAGGTCCTCCTTCCCATCCATCCTATCCTAGCTTATCAGGTCTCATCAGGACTGGCTCCATTGTCTTCCTCTGTGGCCTGCCAAGGCTGCACTCTCCCCCAGGGTAGGATGATCAAAGAGGTGATCAAAGAGCTGGCAACTAAGTCTGTGTCATAGACAGCCACTGAAAAGTACTCTGATGTCATTTACTTTATAGATTTTAAAAAGTAATAATTTAGCTGGGCGAAATGGTGCACACCTCTAATCCCAGCACTAGAAGAGACAGAGAAAGGAAGATCTCTGAGTTTGAGGCCAGCCTGGTCTTAAAGTGAGTCCAGGACAGCCAAGTCTACACAGAGAAACCCTGTCGTGGAAAACCCAAAATTCAAAACAACAACAACAACAACAATAATAATAACAATTTATGTGAATATTTTTCTAAAGCAAATCCATTTCTAATTGTAAAAATATTAATAGTTGTAATTAGTATTTTGTTCAAAATATGAATATATAAATAGCACTATGTGGGTCTGAGCACTCTTCAGTACTCGTCAATGTCCCACAACATTTCTAACTGGGACTAAGGCAAGGCTAGTTCAGGGAAGGAAGGTCTCCATGCAGTATTGCTTATCCCAGTGAGTAGTGACCACTCACAGCAAAACCAAACACACGGCTCCCATACTTAAGCAATAATCACTCTCAGCAATAAAACAACCATCCCGTTCATAAATACCTTTTGTCATGCTTTTAATCTTCCCCAAGGGGGATGGAACAGACACATAGGAGCCATCTAGAAATCAAGTTACACAGTGAAGTTGAAGGCAGCAATCATTTCTTTCTCCTTAAAGTTCAACATGAAAAAAGAAAATGAAACAGATGGTGATGTTGAAGAAAACTAGGTTAAGGTTCAAATCTCCTGGACAGGAGGCTGCACTGTGCGTGTTGGTCTAAAATCTGCATAAAAGATCCTAATTCTGTTCTAGAAGACTCCGGCAGAAGGGCAGATACAATTTTTATCTGTCTATGGGTGCTCTTTCCTTGTAAAGGAAATTACTGACGTGGAAAATGACTGTTCTCTGTTTTGCCAGGCCTTCCTGTCTTGTATGAGCCCTGTGCCCTCTCAGTTGAAGGGACGCCAAGCTTGAAGGGACTGCAGCCTGGTGGTGGCAGCCATCCTTTATGCAGACACACACATATACAAACTTTTCAGAAATGAATCTCGTCACTTGGCTGTACCCTCCTTCCTCTTCCCAGAGGGATTGTGACAGCAACACGCCTTTGCCGTTGGCTATATTGTACAGAGACAAAAACAGAGTAGCAAAGGCATACCTCCTCCAGGCTGTGAATACTCATTACATGGAAACTCCTCCTGGGGTCTCTTATAGTGCTTCAGGAGTGTGATGATGGCATCATGTCCTTCAAGAAAAGACAGAAAGAATGAACCTTAATTCTGTCTCGATTTATTTACACACACACACACACACACACACACACACACACACACACACACAGCTGCTGGATAAACTTGTAACATGGATGTATATGGTTGGGACATAGTTAAATGACTGAGAGACACATAGAATAACTGAGAGAAAGGGGCACATGCTGTGACCGAGCATGGCACTTGGTTGGCAATGCCAGTCACAGAGCACTGAGGTAATGACACAGGTTTCTGCAGAAGAGACATCGGGGTGTACAGAGGTACCTGCACTCCTCTTTCACAGTGACTCCAACACTGGGAATGGCTGCCTACCCCAGGATAGCTCTCAGTCCCTCTTCCATCCAAATGAAACTGTAGGCAAGACCCCAATTAAATACTTTCCTTCATAATTTGCTTTTAACATGGTGTCTTTTTACAGCAATTGAACAGTAACTAAGACAATATCTTTGGAATTAAATCACCCTGCCAACTGTCTCTCACTAAATTCATAGGTTCTGCACTTTTGCCTTGATCCTGTGACCTTGCAGGGATTTGGAAACCTTTCTTTTAATAGCTTTATTGTTACGGATTTGGATCTAGAAAATAAAAATAACACAGCAAAACCAGTCTTTTTTTAGCATTTCTGTTTCTCCTAGAGACACCCTTTTCCCAACACATACTCCAGCATTTATCCAGATACAGCCCCATCCACAGCCCCCACCCTCTTCCCATCTCTCTGGTCCCCTCTGTGAGCTGACTTTGACAGGCAGAGGGCTGGGTGCTCCCCAGTGGATCAGGATTCAGCCTCATAGATCCTGACTGCCTATGAGAGCAGTGGCTTACACCATCACGTTCCTCTTGTTGTAAAGCTCTCTTGGCGCCACTTGCTCTGAGCAGTTCTCATTTCCTGCCAGCATCGTGGCACGATTTCCTGGTATTTTCTTTGGAATATTTTCATCAGCATCTTAATGAGTGCCTGGGTTCTGGCTGGTGATGAGCCAGAAGCTGCCAGGCAGGTGCCAAGAGGCCCCCTCTGCTTTGCAGGGCAGCTCTGCCTCATCTCCTTCATCCTCCTGACAGTCATGAAGGCACAGTGTAGGAAAAGCACTCTGACAGTCCTGCAGCAGGCAAAGAAAGGAATCACAAACACTGCAGCATTAGCCCCAACCTGGTCACAAGCAGCAAAGCAGAAATGGTCCCCTTGAAATAGCACTAATTGACTTAACCCCCTGATGGTGGACAGGCAGACACTCAAGGTACATTAAGTCAACATGTCCAGACATAACCAAACTTCCGCAGATTAAAAGAAATGTTCTCATATAGCTAAGAATCCAGTGTCTATAGTCAAGTATCTTAAACATGGTAGGTTGATAGCTCACTAGCTCAATTATCACAGCATTCTCCACATTTGGAGCATCAGCATCTAGAACAGGGGAACACGGCAATCTTAACTTTTACTCTGCTGAGTAGATCTGTTACTTTCTAGGTTTGTGAGACTGTAAATCAGTTCTTAGAGATGTTAGGGCAATAACCCCATAATGTGTCTTTGTCTTAGGCATGTCTGAGGCCTCTTGGCTCCTGAGGAAGAAAAATGTATCTTCTCATAACATCTCTCCATCCTTGCCATTTCAACTTGGAGGCAAAGAACACTGCCTGCACTCCTTGTCTGAGAATTACTTTAAGAACTACATGTGGGGCTCAGCAGAATGACAGCAATCACAGCTACAGCTGGAGTCTGGGGCAGTGAGCCCTTCTGTTTTAGACTAGAAGAGATGGATTTGATTCCGTAAGGCAGGGATGGGAGGGCACCAAAGGTGAACATTGGCTGTCTTGTCTCAGACACTCCTCCACTTTTCCAAGGCAGGCTTGCTCACTTCCCTGAAGCTCACCAAGTCAGGCAGTTGTGTGTCAGGCAAGCCTGAGTGACCCACTTGTCTTGATGCTCTGGTGTGTGATCCCAGGCACACACCACTGTGCTTACATTTTTGAAGTGGGTTCTTGGGATTGAATGTAAGTTCTCATGTTTCCATGGCATCCACGCTCAGGGACCTCCATTTCCATTCCCTGGAGCAGTGAAGGCACAGCCACTGCTCCTGACAATGACTCAAGGCAACACAACCCCGAGCAATGACGTTTGTGAGATTTAGCCCAAAGTCTTTTCACATTTCTTAGCATATAAAAATCTCATTTTTTTTAGAAGCATCGAGAAGTTGAGTCCATGGTTACTTTTGAAGTCTGCCCTTCCACGCTTGATTTGCTGCAGAGTCTTGACCCAACACTGTCAGTAAGACCAAAGGTGAAAAGAATTCCTGGCTTATTGTGTTGTCCCATGACTCAGCTCTGCAAAGCGCCTCAGTGTTGAGACCCATTTGCCCTTTCACTTATTCCTCCTCCATCACACACTCAGGTGAAAATGCCAGCAGCCAGTCAGCACTAATAAGGATCGGTGGTTCACTTGCGATGAGATCGTGACAGCTAAGACATTCCGCTTCCTTCTGTTCTTCTCTTCCCATCCCATCTGCCCTCCCCACTTCCTCACCTTTTTTGACTATTTATCACGTGCCTGCCAGAGGTCAGCCCCAGGGTGTTCCCAGAGAAGCCCTCTGACTGCTCATTTTTAGATAATGTCCTTGAACATTTACTAATTACTACACTTTCACTTTTACTTTGTTGACAGCATTTGTGTCATTATGATATATGATATTTTCCATTTATTTTCTTGTTTTCTGTTTGTCTCTTCCTGCTAGAGCTATGGCCTTCCTCAGAGCATGAAGATGCTGTCTGTTTTTCTCTCCTTGTCTTGCCTCGGTTCTTGGCACAGTACCTGTTGCAGACTAGCTGCCAATGCATTTCTACTGAATGAATAAAGTAATATTTATAATAAACATGTTTTTGAAAAACAGTTCTTTCTCATTTTTATAGCAATGCAATTTAGCAGCAAAGAAAAATAATTATAGCTCTTATGGGGCCATGGAGCCATGGTACTTGGGGAAGGTAGCCTGTGGCAAGAGTGGGGTCAAGGTATGTCCAAACTCCTGAAATTATATCCTGAGATCAGCAGGAGTAAGATTGCTTCCCCTGCCCTGGGCCCGTGTGTCCCACTGCACATAGCCTCATAGCCTTGCACCTCCCCCCCCCCGTATTACCCCCAAAGAATGTCAGAAACCTGGTAGCCAGGTTAAACTTCCTCTCCCTTTATAATGTCAGGTCTATCAGCAGCTGAAATTCCTCCTTATGCAAATGAGGCATCCTGAATGTCCTAATCCCAGATGATGATGTATACTCACCCCAAAAGCTCTTACCCACCCAAAGGTTTAAGTAGCCTTTGTTACTCCCCCGTTAAATGCACTGTCTCACTGAAGCTGTCTCCTGAGAGAGTCTGTTTTCATCCCATGCATAGCCACCTAAGGTCTCCTCCACTCCTTACCATTCATACCTTGTTTCTCTTCTTATGACCTGTTGGTCATGCTCTTGGGACCATCATGATGCCAAGGGCATGGAAACAGAGCCTGAACATCAACCTCGTTTACATCACATAAATATAATTTTAATTAGCCAAGCTTTAGGGAGAAAAGCAGGAGATGCCATAGCCTTCAGGGGCCAGGGAAGGGCTGTGTAGCCATTTATAAGATGAACTTGAAAGGTAAGGTGAATTGATTAAGCAAAGAGAGAAAAATATTCTGGCCAGAGTGAAATTGCTTTTCCATTGCATAGAAATAGGAAACTGAGGACATCTGCAAAATTCTTCCTCCTGTTTACTTGAATATGAGGATTGTCCTAGTTCACTTTGTCTGCTTGACACAACTTAGAGTCATCTGTGAGGAAAACTGTAATTGAGGAATTGTCTAACTCAGATTCACCTATGGGCCTGTCTGAAGGGAATTGGCTTGATTAATGGCTGATGAAGAAAAACAAAATTCACTGTAAGTGGCACCATTATTAATGCTGTGGTCTTGTGTTGAACAAGAAAGCCAGCTAAGCATGAACCTGGAAGCAAGGCAGAGAGAAAGCCCATCAAGTGTTCCGCTGTGGTTCCTGCCTCCTGGTTTCTGTTCTGACTTTCCTGTGAAACCTGTCTTAGCTATGTATGGTTTCATTGTTGTGAAGAGACACCATGGCTATGGCAACTATTATATAGAAAAACACTTAGCTGAAGGTGTCTTATAATTTCAGAGACTTAGTTTATTGTCACCGTGGTGGGAAGCATGGCAGTCTCCAGGCAGAGATGGTGTTGGAGAGGAAGCTGAGAGTTCTATGTCTTGATCCAAAGGCAGCAGCAGGACACTGTGTCATATTGGTCAGACTTGAGCACATGTGAGACCTGAAAGTGCACCTGCACAGTGACATACTTCCTCAAACAAGGCCACACCCACTCCAGCAAGACCACATCTCTAACAGTGCCACTCCCTATGAGCCACGCATTCAAACGCATGAGTCTTTGGGGGCCTTTCCTATTCAAACCACCCTAAAACCTTAGAAGCAAAAGCTTTCGTTGCTTGTATTTCTTTCAGTGTTCTTATTCACACTCTCATGGCAGTAGCTCACTGAGCTTTGACCACTAATGGCTTTTCCAGCCCAAGGTACAAACACTACCACAGTCCATTAGTAAAACAGTATGGTCCATCATAGCAACACTCCATGCCTGGAAACAACTTCTCTTCTAACGTCCTCTCTGTTGCATGGTAAAACACTGACAAAAGGCAGTGTGTGGAAGGAGAAGGTTGTTGGCTTGCCCTTCTAGCCATAGTTGGTCAGTATATAACGAAAATATGATGGCTATTCAAGGTCAGCTCTCTGAGCAAGGCATGGCAGCCCATCCCTGGATCCCACACCTGGGGAGCTATAGTTAAGAGGAGTGTGCTTAGCCCCAGGCCAGTTTGGAGTACATATAGAGTTAGAGAGTAGCCTGGGCTACAGAATGAGAGTCTACCTCAAAGAACAAAAAGAAGAAAAATTTATTTTCTTTGATTGTTGGATTATACACTTATATAAACAT